CAAGATCTGGGCTGGAAGATGAAGAGGCGCGGCAGCAATGTAGCGGATTCTGGCAGTTTTCGCGGCGGCTGAAGCTAGGGAAGTGTAGATCCGGCCGTGAGGAAGGAAGATCAGGTCCTGGGGAGCCGAAACGTCGCCAAAAAACTGCGAAATCTCGCCTGGAAGATGAAAAGTCGCGGCGGTGGGAAGATGAAACGTCGCGGCTTTTCCGTGATTCGCAGTGGTGGCTTGCGATGGAGATCGGTGGCTGGTGAAGATCGGTGCACCGGGAAGATGAAGCATCGTCGGAGGGAGACGAAGGGTCGCCGGAGCTCGCCGAAAAACTGGGTGAACAACCCCCCCTTGTTCACGCGAACTGTAGTTCTCTTTTATAGAACAAATTGCAAAATATCAGTTTGGTCCCTACGTAATTGAAAAGTGACAAAATCAGCCCCTTAAAACATGACATTTTACCCCCTAAACAATATAAATGAGACAAAATCACCCTTAATCCATAAACCACAACCTAATATCAACTAATATACTTTCCAAAATCATTCCAAACACGTTAAATTCATAAGAAAAATATTAGAAAGCGATTTTCGTGAATAAATTCATAAATTCTTTAATTGTCTCAATATACTTCAATTTAATCACACATGAGGTATTTTTATCACCAAAATAGAGTCACTTTCATGACTCTAACATTGACTCCGTAGAAGAAGAAACCTGCAAGGGCTCAACAGTAGGGTCATCTGCACAAAAATGAAAAGGAGGAGAAGGGACCTGCGTAGTAGTAGGAGAAGATGTGGTAGGAGATGATGATGGTGCAAGGGCGCAGGGTTCAAAAAATTTGGAAAAACCAATGTTAGCAAGAGAAGCGGCACTGGAAGTATTTAAAAATGGGAAAAAGTTCTCATCAAAGCGAGCATGCCATGTAATATATGTGTGAGAAGTTATAGTGTCAAAACAACGAAAACCTTTATGTGAGGAACTATAATCAAGAAAAATACATGGTAAGCTATGGGGAGAAAATTTGTGAGGGGCGTAATCACGTAAGCATGGGTAAACTCAACAACCAAAAGGATGAAAATTCTCATAATTAGGAGACTTACCAAATAAAACTTCAAAAGGTGAAAGACCACCAAGACCAGGCATAGGCAACCGGTTGATAATGTAGGTTGCTATGCTGAAAGCGTCAACCCAATACCGAGGAGGAACGTGAGAGTGAAAGAGGAGAGCAAGACCAGTTTCAATCACATGACGATGTTTGCGCTCAGCTCTACCATTTTGGGAAGGAGTGTACGGGCAAGACATTTGGTGGTGGATGTCAAATTGTCGAAGATGAGATTGAAAACAATTGCTTGTAAATTCGGCGCCACCATCACTTTGAAAAATTTTGATTTTGGTGGAGTATTGATTTTCAACCAATTTTTGAAATTGAAGGAAAATATCAAAGAAATCAGATTTTAATTTCATTGGATAAAGCCAAGTAAATCGTGAGTAGTCATCAATAAACAAGACATAATAAAGAAATCCCAAATTAGATTTGATGGGAGCGGGACCCCAAATATCGCAATTTATGAGACCTTAAATAACATTAGATCGAGTAGTATTGGGGGGAAAAGGCAAGCGATGACTCTTAGTGAGTTGACAAGTAGAGCAAAGAGATAGATTAGGCAACAAAGAAGTAAGAAATAATTGTCCTTTTTTATTTAAAAGAGATAAAATTGAGTGATTTACATGACCAAGGCGAGCATGCCATAATTCAAAGGAAGCATGTAAATTCTTATTTCTAAGGACAGAAACAAAAGCAGAGTTGCCATGTTCCAACACATACAAACCACCTTCTCGTTTACCTTTTGCCACTACAGTTCCTATTACTCGATTCTGTACAACAAAATTATCATGAGAAAAAGTGACAGAAAAAGGAAAGTCAGAGGTCAGTTTGCTAATGGACAACAAGTTTTTGGTAAGACGAGGAACAACAAGAACATCCAAAAGTTGAAAATTGGAAGAGGGAGAGAGCATGCCAGTGTGTGTAATAGGAAGACAAGCACCATTTCCTACTACTACGCAGTCCTTACCATGATACGGCTCAACCTTGTCCAATTGAGAAGGGTCAGGGGTCATGTGAGCGGAAGCGCCGGTATCAGTGAACCAATCAGACTCTGAGTCATTTGGGAGTGAACAGGTTGCGATGAAGGCTTCAGCAAGCTGTGCCGTAGGTTCGGTGCGATCATAACGGCTTCTGCAACAATCAGCAGTGTGACCTTCAATCTTGTAGATTTGACACCGAGGGGTATAAGAGACCCGTTTGCCACGTCCATGGCCATGGCCATGGCCTCCATTGTGGCCGTCGCGAGAACGACGGGACTTGGAGGAACTACCACCCTGAGATGGACGAAAAGACCTGTTGGTGGCAGTAAAAGCAGCAGAGGAACTAGGGGAGGAGGACCCGAGTGACTTCTGGAAAATCTCAAAACTTTCAGCTTTGGGAACCAAGTCTTTGAAAGTTGGTAAAGGGGTGAGAGACATCTAGGCAGTAGAAAAATTAGCAAAGTCAGTGCCCAATCCTATGAGATACCAGTGAACTTTGCATGTATCATCAACCGAGCAGCCCATTGCAGTGAGTTAATCGCATAAAGCCTTAAATGAACGAGAATATTCAGTGACACTTCGGGTGCCACGTTTGATGAGTTGCAAATCATCTTTGATGCAAAGCTCACGAGTCTTGGAAATATGGTTGAAGGAATTTTCCAAAGCAAGCCAGACATCACAAGCGGTGGTGAGACCAAGAACTTCGGCCATGGCTTCTTCAATCAATGAGGAGAAGAGGAGACTGAGGAGACGTTGATCTTGAAGTTGCCATTCCACATATTTAGGATTTGGGTGAGAAGAAGAAGAATCAGAGGTGATGGTGATTGGAGGAGCTGCAACAGAACCATCGACATGGCTGAAGAGCTTCTGACATTGAAGAAGAGGGAGAAGTTGATTTCGCCAGAGAAGATAATTTGTGGAGGAGAGTTTAATAGTAACCATGTGGATCATGGTGTTGAAGGAGAAGGAAGAATCAACCATGAGAGGATCGAGGAGATTAATCCAAAGAATGCTCTGATACCATAACAATGTTTGTAAAACCACCATGTAACTATGGGGTTGAGTGTTCCATTTATATAGATGAATACAAAACAGAGCACAGTTTAATACAAGGATAAAATAGAAAAAATAATTACAAATGGAAACGTATAACAAATAAATAGAAACTGTATCTCCTAAATTATATTTACTACATTCAAGGAGGATTCCGTAAATCAAGAACTGATACTTGAATCCTTTACAATAAGCATATTAATGGGTGCAATACAGATGTGACATCCGCCTGTTCAAAGTCCTTGGTGAGTTTTCAAAGAAGAGTTTAAAAAATCAGTTTCACGGGTACAGTTTTCAGCTGGACCCTGTCTTGATGATGACCAGATTCTGTTTCGTTCAGTGATATTTTAAACAAACAGACAAAACTAACCATGCCAGCTAGTAAAGCTTCAAAAGCACTCTATAATTTACAACCTATAAACACAAATATATGTTTGTATGATAGAATCCACGTATTAATCCAATTCCAACAAAAGGCCGACAACGCATTCATGAAACATCATTGTCCCCAATATGTAGGCTGACAACGCATTCATGAAACTATCTAAAATACATATCAAATTTGGAATGAAATGTTGATAGGAAACTCGCGAGGGAGGGGGCGTTTGGCAGAAGATCTTATATTATTTAATTATTATATTTAATTACTCGATAATATAAGATTGGAAAATGATGGATTTACAGGCTGATGTGTATCGATTTTGTGCACCGACTGACGTAGTAAAATCCTGGCTATTGATTAATATTAACTGATAATAAATAAACGGTCAGGATTGTGCCACGTCATTCGGTGAATAAAATCGGTACACACCAGTCGGTAACTGTAGTATTACTCTATAAGATTATGTTAATCTTATATTATCTTTGATAATAGTTAATATTATTGATAATATTTGAAGATAATCTAATTACTTTTATTTTTTTAGGTATTATAAGATTATTAAAGTAATTTTATTTTTGTTATAATTTTATCTCTTATTAATAAAAATTTTGAATAATAATGCATCTGTTTTAAAATCAGTTTACATTAATATATCATTTCAATTTTATTCTTGTTTAATTAAGTTTTTAGACAATAATACTCTTATATTTAAAACAAATTATAGACCACCACTGCCACCCAACCACCACCATCGACAACGGGCCAATCACCACGGACCGCCGTCAAAAAGTCGCTAGAGTCTCCAAAAATGATCGAGAGTTGTTGGAAGGCTTCGAAATGGTTGTTTTTTTCCACTAATATGGTCGAAAACGGCCATATCAAGCCAAATCTGGGCGAGATCTAACCGTTAACGACCATGGACCTGGCCGTTAATAGCCAGGTCCATGGCCGTTAACAGCCAAATCTCGCCCAGATCTGGCCTGATATGGCCGTTTTCGGCCATAAATATGGCTAAAAACAACCATATCGGAGCCTCTCAATCACAGTGAGCTACTCACAATGACCTTCGACGACTTTCGACGGTGGTTTGCAATGGCAGTAGGGGTGGGGTTGATTTTGTCATAAATTAGAGTTTTATATAAGCGGGGTGTTTTAGCTAAATTTGAAATATTGAAAGTTAAAAAAATTATTCAAAAATTAATAATAAAAATTATATTATATTAATATTTAAAAAGAGGGTAATTTAGTTATTTAAATAACATAACCAGTAATTTATTCTCTTAACCAAACATATTAATATAATATACCCACCAACTAACCAAACATATTTTTCTATCCTAAAGATTCTCAATAGTCTTTAAGGTAATATAAGATTCCAGTAATCTAAATATTCTCAATAATCCAATATTTCCTGAAGCAAACGCACGTGATAAATTTATGTCAATAACAAATAATAAGTCAAACATCAAGATGCATGCTAATAACTTTTATTATGGATTAATTTTACGTACTAAAACTTTCATAATAAAATCATCGTTTCTCTTTCTCTCTCATTGGCTCAAAGACACAAATGTCTCCTTCCTCCAAATTCTTCTCGTTGAAATTTTTGCCAACCTCCTCTTATCAGTCTCGCACACCCTAGCCATTTGATACTCACCGGCCACTCTTTTCCGTCACAATCTTGTATTTTGATCTGTTTCACTTCTCTACTCAAACACTTGACAGAAAATTTCGTTGGTATATATTGCACAAAGCAAAAATCATTTTTTTGAAATTAGTTATATGTCAAACGCTATCAATGAAAATTCATGATGATCACTTGCATTTTATTCAAACTCACCACATATTTATTTCTTAACTAAGAGGCACTCAAAACAACCAAGAATGAATGATTGCTTGGCTTGAACAATCTGGCTGCAAGGAGTGCTCTCTACATGCTTCACTGATAGAAATCCCCAATTTTCCAAGGAAACCATAGAACTCTTGATGATCTGCAAAATGGGAAAGGTTAATGTTGTTAACACTAAATTAGAACAAGAAGATAATAAGTGTAAAGAGCTTACCAAGTTGATTTCGTTTATCCACTGCCTGTTTCCCAGCTTGTCGTGTAGCTCTTCTTGGTTCATTTTTATGCGTTGGAGAGTAAACATTGCGAGATGGCCCTGCCCTTCTACTTTTATCTTTAAAATTGTTTCCCGAAGTCCTGAAAGATGAATTTGGAGTTGTAGAACCCAATATCTCCACAGACTGTTCTTCATCACTTTCCATGTTGTTCTGATGTCCAAAGTTCCGCCTGCCACTTTCTGGCTCTTCACCATCACTAATCGGATACTCGACCTCAAAAGCACTCATGTCAAATATAACAACATGAAAATTTGATTTTGATTTGAATCGGAAAACCAAAAGGTATGGAGTAATACTCTACAAACTCAGACCAACCATTACCGAACCAAATCTTTCCCCTTTCTTTAACCACTCCAAATTTCCAAACTCTACCATTAGGAACTGTTATTGTAGCAACACTAGAAAGCTCATCCCCAAACTTTGTCACAAACTTTTGTGGGATTTTATGCAATTATGCAAACTAAGTTACAAGAACTATTTTAAAAAATTGGATAATCATCAGTCAAACAAATGCTTTTACACATGTCAGTCCTAAATTTTTATCTCGAATTGATCAATGTTAAGAAAACAAAGAACCGATATCTTCCAACCAGCAAAACTATTCTGGAATTTAAAGAAACAGATTTCAGAAGACTGACAAAATTGCAAACCACTTCCAAATTATGGTGGATACTATTTAAGATTTCCAAGGCAAAGTGGAACGACATAATCCCATGGGAATATCAAGGCCAAAATGAAATATGTACAGAAAAGGAAAGGCACTCCGCTTAAGGGCAGTTTAAAAGAAAAGAAATGAATTCAATCAAACAAATGCTTCCGCAACATAGCAGTCATAGATAGTTGTCAATGCAGATCAATGTTCCATGAACAAGAAGACATGTCCTGGTACAAACTCAACAAACAAGGCCCCCACTGGTATAACATTTAACTTGAATGCAAACTTACAAGAGGCAAAATACAAATGATTCGGACAACGAGACGAGACTGAAAATACATGGAATTAAAAAGATAAGCTATGAAGCAAAGGCATGTAAAATCATCTTGAGATTCATGAGAATTCTTCGAAAGTTCATGCTGTCATATGCATATTATAGAACCTACATGTACAAGTGAATGACAGAAGTGTAAAATGTTTAGCCAAAAAAATTACAGAGAATGAAATGGGTATGTAACAAAGTAGAAAACAAAAAAAACAAAAAAAAAAAACACCAGAATCAGATTTGTTTGCTTAAAAAAATAGATAAAACTTGCGTGAGGAATTACCAGCATCTTAGCTTCAAGTGTTGGGGGAAGTATGACCTTGAAGCAATTTGAAGGGCCTTGAAACTCAGGCAAAGAATTCCTAGCTTTCATGCTTAGTTGTTGGAGTTGTGAAGTCAATCCTTGACATAAGATAGTTGATGTTGCAGTGGATCACTAAATAGACCCACTGCAACATCAACTAACATCAATTCTAGAGAGTCAACAAAAACTTTGTGAGTCCCAGAAGCACAAAATTAACCAAAACAAGAAAAAAAAATTAGCCTAACAAACTGTATAATAATTAATAAGTTAATAACTAACGTCATTGATAGGCGAATGATGGTATCATGGTCTTCTGACAGTGGTCACGTGGCCTATTACAAGAATAAAATTCAGAAATGATGAACAATGTCTTAAAACCCAACCCGGGGTGAAACCCGGCAAAGTTGCCGGGTCCCGGGTTGATCAATGGTCAAAACAGTTGATAAAAACTTCTAAAATTTAGCAAATACACTCTTAAAAATTTTTAAGTCTTTATAGGTTTGAAATTTATCAAATACACCCTAAATACAAATCAGTCGACGACTAGTTGGCGGCGACGACACCCTAGATGCAACCCCAATCATCCCTTGAGTCCATTCCCCTTAATACATACCCAAGATTTGGTCGAAATAGGTTCGATTTCAGTCAGATCTCACCGATGCTGGCGTCAGTATTTCAGGCCAAATCTCATCGATGTCGGCGTCGACAACCCTCCCCATAACCCAGAAATTACTTCCCTCTTCCTCCCGACTAAAACCCACCTCACCCCACCCCCGTTAGCCTTGTCAATTGCCGGCAAAATCTGGTTGTTTTCACTGCCAGTTTTGTTCGATTTCCGATCGATTTACTCACCAGAAATCAACGCCGTCACCACGATTGCATTCACCGGCACTTTCTCTTCAAAAACCCTAACATCCCAACCATCAATTGTTCATCAATCATCCTTCCAAATCTTAGGGAATAGGAAAAATATAAACCCGGTCCGTTGAAGCTTCTAGGTCCCGGTTGAACTAATTAAACCGGTCGAGTCAGGTCAGGTTTTAAAACATTGATGATGAACACAATGACATATTCACAGTTTGGAGACGAGGCAAAGCAAGTCATGAATTGAGGAAGGAGCACTCAATGTTTTGCTGGTTTAGGAAAGGAAAAGAGAGCGGGTGAGTGAAGGGGTTTGAATAATTCAACAATGTGTAAGTGTGGAGGTGCAACGTGAAATGACAGCACATTAGGTAGTTTCATAAGAAATAGAACAATGGCTGTGCTGTGCAGTGACCATTCGTCATCCGTAAATTTTTGTCTTTTTATCCTTCTCTCTTACTCTTTCCCATAATAAATATGATAAAAAATCATCAGGTATTAGCGTATCATAAATTATGGATTAGAAAGGATGAAGAGAAAGCGTGTAATTCACAAGAGAAGATATGGAAATGGTAAGGCATCTCCAACCAATGTTATTTTGGTGTGGTGAGGAAAATATGCTCCAATTGAACATTAAAAACTACAGTAAATGGTGTAAGTACACAACATCGCACTAAATTTGGTGTAATATTGTTTATCCACACCAATTTAGCGTGATACTATTCATCTAATATAAAATATTTTTGTTTTTCTTATTTTTGTTATTTGTTTTCATGTTAATTTGATTATTATTTATATTAATATTTATAATAATAAATTCATAATAATTATATAATTGAAAAAATGATGAAAAATTAAAAACAAACTTTATTCAATGCAAATATTAAACTATAATAACTCAAAATAAAAATTAACGCTAATTTAAAAATACTAAAATTAAAAGAAAATACAACATAAATTAAAATAACAATTTAGTATTTTGGTAGATTAGTTCCGACTTCCGAATCCTCTAAGATCATCAAAATATTGGAAAGAACTAGAGCTATTTTGAGATCATTGACTTTGTTGTTGAGCTCTTTTTTGCATAATTCTTTATTGCTCATTTTGAAAAAAACTGAGGCAGACTTGGATCGGTTATGGAATTCAAATCCTTGAATAAAATTTTGTTATCTTCTCGATATTCTGTTAAAGTCAATTTTTTCTTTTTTGTGGTATTTTATATTAGATATAATGTTTTTATATATTAAATGTAATGTTTATTTGATTAAATAAATGTTTAATTTTATTAAATTAGTATAATTTTTAAAGTAATTATTATTTAATAAAAATATCATTCTCAATATTTAATTAATATATACACAAATAATTAGTTAAATAAATTAATTGTTGATTATTAATAGAAATAAAAAGAAAGAGAATATTTTAAAGAATATTCTTTTTAGTGTAACTCATAAGAGAGATGGAGAGAGGTGCTTTTCGATCGAAAAGGTTGAGAGAGAAAGAGTTAGGTACTGTGTACAATCAAAAGCAAACGAAACCAAACCTCTCTCTCTCTCTCTCTTCATAATTGTAGAAATTATTTATACACTACCTGCCGTCTATAACTCTGTTCACCTAAGTTAGTAAATGCTCCTTTGTTTAAAAAAAAAAATTCTTATTCCAACTTATTTTGAAAATTTTAATGGTGGATCCTGTTCCATAGCGCTAGGTGTTTGGGACCGAGTCTAAAAACTCAACCCAAAAACTTGATCCTAGGACCGGTACTTGAGAGGACCAGTCTTAGCAAGCCTAGTCCCAAAACCGGACCAGGCCTAAGGAGGAGGGATCAGTCCCTCCATTGGGCCCTCCTCCAAGGCTCGGGCTTGGGATCGGTCCTAGGCCGGAGCCCAAACCCTTTTGGTTTTTTTATTTTAGCCCCTTGAATAATTACATAAAACCTCCTATAAATTTTGAAATAAACAGAAATTATAGGGGTTAAAAAAAAATTTACAAAATTTAAGGGAAAAAAAATTCACATGTCATTTGATAACCGTTGGCTGGCTGCCAAATGGGGAAGAGGAAGAATCCTGTGGGGTATGTAATTTATGTGGAACCATTATTGGCGCTGAGAAGGAGACTTCGACGATGCGACGACACTTGGAGAAGAAGCACCCCCAAATAATGCAGTTGTCCGATACATCTTCAACCGGATCAGGTAAGCAAATTCAAACTCAACTAAATTTTAATCCACAATCCTCAACTCTCTCAACATGACAATATAATGCATATGTTGCACGAGAGGAAATAGCAAGATTCATAGTTGTTTCGGACTCTCCCATTTGTTTATCTGAAAATCCTTATTTTATTCATATGATTAAAACTACATTTTGTCCAACATATACCCCTGTTAGTAGAAGTACAAGCAGAAGAGATATATTAAAACTTTATAACAAAATAAATAATAAACTTAAAAACGAATTTGAAAATTTTAGGAATATATCTATTGAACTTACATCAGACATGTGGGCTTGTAGATCAAAAACAGATTTTTTGACTGTCACAATATATTTCTTAGATCATAGTTAGGGTTTACAACAAAAATTGATGTTTTTTAAACCATTATATAAAAACATAGTGCTGACACTATTTATTTTACAATTGTTGAAGTTTTGCAAGAATATGTATTAACTGATAGAGTTGTAGCGCTAACACTTGATAATGTAGCTGCTAACACCGCGACAATCTCTTTATTTGAAAAGAGATTGGATCCGCGTGGTGAAGGCAAATTTTTTTACCTAGAAATATGTTTGTCACATCATCAATTTGATTGTTAAAGCAGATTTAAATGCTATACATTTGAAGATGGAGAAGGTGCACACGATTATCGGATTTATCGTCGGTGGTAACAATAAAAGATGGCAGGAGTACGCCAAATATTGTAGGCAAGAGGACCCATTGATTCGACCTTTAAAGTTATGTACGGACATGCCTGTCCGTTGGAATTCCACCTACTTGATGTTGGAATTCCACCTACTTGATGTTGGAAAAAGTTTTGCCAACCGCAAGACAAATTACAGATTTCGTCAACCGGAAGAACCATCCAGAAGAAGTTGTCAACTATGATGATTGGGCGATTTGTGAACTTTCTTATTCATTTCTTAAATTTTTTTAGGATTCCACTAATACATTAAGTGGTATTTATTATCCGACTACTAATTTAGCGTTAGATATTTTATAGGGGTGAGCACGGGTAGCGGGTAGAACCGAAACCCGGGGTAAGAACCGGAACCGGAACCTACCCAGAACCTGCACTGTGCGGGTAGGTTTCGGTTCCAATTTTTTGGAACCGCTACTGTGCGGTTCCGGTTCTGGTTCTTGCATGTGGAGGAACCGGAACCGGAACCGGAACTTGTAAAAAAGGTACCCTGTTTGGAACCTGTAAGGGGTACCCGGTTTAGAACCTGTTTTGGAACCTGTTTTGGAACCTATTTGGAACCTGCTTTGGAACCTGTTTTGGAACCTGTTTTTAGAACTTGTTTAGAACCTATTTTGGAACCTGGACTATAATGAAATATTTGTGGAATGTAAATAATGGGGGAGTTTCTATTATTTTACATATAAAAAAATTTAAAATAGAAAAAGTTAAATTTTTAGAATAACCTAATTAAATAAATATACGAATACAATTATACTTATTACATAAATTACACCTATTAAAACTTTAATATTATAATACATTAATATTAAAGTTTTGATCATAAGTGAATAATTGGAATTATGATCCATTAAAAGTGTTTTACATTTTTAATGTTATTAAAGAATTATTTTTGAATAAAATAGTATATTTGATTGAGTAATAATATATTTAGTTATTTACTTCAATTATCAAGTTCTAAGTATATCTATAATAAATTAGTAATTAATTAATTATATGATAAATTGATAAACATTATAAATTTAATTACTAGTTAAATATCATACTTAATCAATTATAACATTACATTATAGTTAAATGATTACTTAATTAATTATAATTTATAACATTACTTAATTAATTTATAGTATAATTAATTATAGCATTACATTAATTGATTACTACTATAATAATTGACTTATAAGTTATAACATAATTAAATAGTAATTAATTCACTTATAATTAGAAATTTAATTATTATAGCATTACGTTATAGATTTATAGTATAATTACTTAATCATAATAACATTTTATATAAACATTAGTACAAAC